AGTCATTTAAAGTTACTGGCCCCCGAAAACCCAAATAAAGTGCTGAGAGATGCCAAATCGCACCACAGAGCCGAGGTGGGGAAGGATGGTCTTTGGTGCGTAGAAGACCTACTCAGTCTGCTGTTGTTTATGTATGTTTCCTGTTGCCGCCCCCTCCCTCTCACACCAACATGTTCTCCTACCAACAGGTGAATTCCCCCAACGTCATCCCATGTTTAGAGATGTAGAGTCAACCGCCGGCTTTCTCTTGGTGCTGAAAAGCTGCCCTTCTCCCTCCCATTGTGAGGGTGTGACGTCAGAGGCTGACATTTACCAGCGGCGCTCCACTGCGGCGCCGCCGTGACATTAACTCACGGGGGGGGGGAAACGCTAGAGATGCAACATCACATCGCAGAAAGACACGTTGGGCTCATTAGTGTTTTCGCTCACTGACGGGCCTGCATCACCTGAACACGAGCTGCACCCCCCCCACTGCCGGCACTGCCTCAAAGTCCAAGCCCTCCTCCCATCTGAGCCCACACGCCACTCGAGTCCTGACGCCGCTACACACACACACACTCTCAAAAATGGTCCCTTTGCCGCAGTGTCTCCCGCCTGCACTCGCCCTGACAAACAGACATCGCCGCTGTTTCCTCTTTCAGCCCCGCATCCGAAATGCGAGCGGGGGGGGGGAGAAAAGGGAGGGAGGCCGACGGAAGAGAGGGAGAGAGAGGATGGAGCCTGGTGGAGGGGGTTAACCGAGAGAAAGAGAGAGGCGAGAGAGGGGATATAGGAGGGAGAAGGCATGAAAAGTGTGGGGAGGGGGGCGTCTGTATGAGGAACAGAGGCGGCTTTGTCGATAGCAACAGCAAACTTTACGCCGTCGTTTACTGCTCTCGCTGCGCCGCCTCAAAGAGGTGCAGTCTGTTTGTGATGGGAGTGTGTGTGTGTGTGTGTGAATATGTGTCGGCGTGTGTCTACGATGGCGTGTGTGTCTGTTTGAGGCTAAACATGAATGAGCTGTAGTCCACCACTTTCCAAGAAACACACACACACACACACACACACACACAGGATATTGGGTTGGTAGGCAGTAACATGAAGCTTAGCTTGGCACAGGTACACCAGATTCTTGATGAGTAACTTCCTCCTTTTGCACAGAGGGGGGGCTCCAGAGACGCTAACAACAATATTCTAGACACAATTTCTCTGGCTATGAAGAAGTGAAAAGAGTGGTGGAATTATTATTTGGCTAAAAGCCATCGCACCCACGATATGTCAAAGGATTCTGTTTCTAACGGATTAGGCCAACAAATACAAATCTTAACTTGCAAAGCCAAAATGTGGCTGAAACGTTTGCCCGTTTGCCGCAGCACGAAGCGACGGAGACAGGACTGAATCCACAGCTGAGATCTTGTGCACACAAGTCTTCACAGAGGCCGATTGAAACAAAAATCGGTGCTATAGTCGGGCTATAAAACGCTGGCTCACACATTTCCCACAATGCAACTCAAAAACATCTTTCAAACTTCGTGCCCGGAGTCTGTCTCAGGTCTTCCGTTCAATGTTCTGAAGTCCCGAGCCTCGCTTAAAGTAACCGCGATGACATCATGAAGGTTGACAAATAACACGGTTGTTGTTTGATGAGCGACAGGCACCATATGACTTTTCATACAGTAACCACCTACTTGAGATGCTGCGGGGACAAGCCCACAACGGCCTCCCACACATGCTCAATGACAACCCCCCCCCCACCACCCTCTCCGCAGGAACATGGCTCGCTTGGTACTGTATAGAACCCCCGGTGACAAACGCCCCCCCCGCGCTCAACCTCTCCTTTGGCTCCTCGGCCCATCAACAATCCCCGTCATTGTTGATGGCCAAACTACTCGTGAATCTGCTGGAGCCCTCTCTGCATCCTGTCCTGTCACACATACAAGTGGGGTGAATAGTGGCCGATTGTGCGTACGGGGAGAGAGAGGGGAGGCCAAAATAAAAGCTACGCATGCCAAAGTGTCCCCTTTGAATATGAAACCTTAACCGACTGGGGCACGCTGTGACTGGAGGGAGTAAAGGGCTTTGTGGAAACATGTGTTGCTCGGATCATTATGACACAATCCATATGCATATTGGCGAGATGCGTTACTGTGCCGTTGAGGAAGTCTTATGTCGAGGAAGATGGAACCCCTCCCCTTTGTTGCCATTTAGTGCTTGAAATGATTAACGTGCAAACAGAACAGAACTAGAAATGACCATAAGCAATAGATAAATGGTTAAAGTGGTAAGCTAAAATGACTGCATAGGTAGCAGATATGGTTGGATAGACGTACAGTATAAACTGCAACAATAACTAGCTAAAAGGGGCTGCACAAGCGGTAGAAATTGTTAGCTTAAGCTAGTTTTAGTTATAAACCTTTAAAGCACTAATAATGAAGCCTCAGCAACCCCAAGCTGCAGCAGAATGGATGCAAATTTGGCCAAACTTTTAAATTGTGCCAAAAAATATGAAATTAGACAAAGTAAGAGACAACTGATATAAAATATGATTGTGCAAGCTGGCCGAGTGATTCGTCGACTGCCGCTTGAGTTGATTAAAGGCAACGCTCTCTTCCCTGTGAACGTGAAACGGGCGAGACTCCTGCTCTTATAAAATACAGAATTCATCACTCGGCAGCTTTGGCTCTCCGTCTTGAATGCAGCCACTGAACCTAATAGTCTGACAGCGTTAAATAAGCTAAACTCAAGAAGGCATGCTGATTTCATTGGCTGTGCCCCGTGCCGGAGAAGGGACAACTTGTGTAATCAGACCCGGCGATCGGCTGCGTGTGGTAATTTCATGCAGATTCCAGTGACTGTGTCATAAAATACATCCATTGTCACTTGCACAAGGCGTGAAGCTACAGCACCAAACCCCAGAGATATTTCCCTGTTGTTTTTGGAAGTAACTAAGTGAAAAATAAATGCTTGTTTGAAGATGTCAACTGGATTTAAAGGATTGCTGGTGTGAATCATTTTTCGCAGCGTGCCCTCCCTCTCTCACCACGACACACTGAAAGCTCTGAGGGCCCCATTCATCCTCCTTTCCCTCTGTGTCACAGCCAAGCCCCGGCTAAGACCGTGGCTGGGTCGTTCAGTGTGTGTGTGTGTGTGTGTGTAAGAGAGAGAGAGAGAGAGAGACAGTGAGTTTCGGTCTGTAAGGGTTTCTTTCTTCAGGTTCATTGAGCACAGCTGACCACAGGAAGTTGTTTTCCAGAGCTTTTCCAGCAGTGTGTGTGTGTGTGTGTTCCGCTTAAGGCCGTCTCCCCACAGGAACTTCCTCTTTGGGCAAACACACACACACACAAACAACACATACATGCATACACAGTCACCTGCGCACACAAAATTCCTAAGGGGCAAGCCCTCCCATGTATGTTATTCAGCAATGTTAATGGCTGTGTGTTCATGGGACTTAAGCATTGATTTTGACTTTTGCTTTTACAAAACGTTGATTTAGTGGCCATTTACAAGGAGACCCAACCAAGAAGCTACTTCTCATACGTCTCTTGCCTAATCCAGCGAGTCTGGAATATATCTAAAAGTTGATAATATTAAGACATGCGTTTGGCTTTTAATGGTCAAGTACTTGCGGAGGTGCATTGTTATTTTGATAGGCATCTTAACTGGCAGGAAAGGGACAAACCTCTACACCAAATGAGCTCAAGCGAGACTGTTTTCTATATTAATCAAGCAGACATTCCGAGCTGAAGGAATGCTGTTGTTTCTGGCCATGGGCCAGCTGCAGCGCTACTTCTTAAGACGCCTCACTGTGAAATGACATGTTAAGTGTGCGGCATGTTTTCTCTGACTTTGGGGTCCTTGCAATGAGGCAATCTCTGTCTAGTGGCCTCCAGCAAATCAGAGATGGAACGCACGGTACGTTCTGAAAACATGTACTCAAACTGACTTTATCAGGACAAAATGCACTTCAGCCTTATAAGAGGTTAATTATAGAACATCTGGTCCACATGTGCAACGACTACTACACCTTAGAGTCAAACTAAGATTGTAATTGTGTTTTTGTAAGAAAATACAAGCTGCACTGCAGCTACTTACATTTCCCTAAAGCTAGAAAACCGTTTAGCTAGTGAACCGTAATATTGGTGTAAAATATACTACAGAGTAACGTAAGGAGTCACAGAGTAGCGTAAGGAGTTACAGAGTAGCATATGGAGTCACAGAGTAGCATAAGGAGTCACAGAGTAACATATGGAGTCACAGAGTAGTGTATGGAGTTACAGAGTAGCATAAGGAGTCACAGAGTAGCGTATGGAGTTACAGAGTGGCATACGGAGTCACAGAGTAACATAAGGAGTCACAGAGTAGCATAAGGAGTTACGGAGTAGTATAAGGAGTCACAGAGTAGCGTAAGGAGTCACAGAGTAGCGTAAGGAGTCACAGAGTAACATAAGGAGTCACAGAGTAGCGTAAGGAGTTACAGAGTAGCGCAAGGAGTCAGAGTAGCAGAGTAGCATAGTGAGTTACAGAGTAGCGTAAGGAGTCACAGAGTAGCATAAGGAGTCAGAGTAACGCACAGGGTAATGGAGTAACATACATCTAAAATTTCACAGTGAATCTTCAAGAGAAGCTTCTCCAAAATGTTTTTGAATAATTAGACCCCATATGTCACCCTGCAAAGTGGAATTGATACCTTCTTGTCATGTGGCGATGGCCACCTGCACCAGCTGCCTCTACATTTCCAACATGGCTGTGAAGCAGCATGTTCCTCCAAACAGAGGAGCCTTTATCTGGTGAAATATTGCACCTGTGCCCATTGCAGAGTGGAGAGCTTTGGCAGGGAGGCTCTCCCTCCGGCACATATGCCCCTCTGTCATGTCACTGAACATTCGGAATCCAGAGGAATCCCAGGTATGCCACAATCTCTGCAGCCATTGACAAATTTCTGTCTTCAGGCCGGGGGAAGCACACTTTTGAGCGCTCCGACGTGCACACTACATAGCCACACAGATGCGTACACACACCTTTGGCCCGGCTGTCCTCGTGGGCTCGTCAGCGTGCCGGCACCTGTGCATGGTAAGGTGACCCCAAAGGCTCGTAGGCCTCTCATAGCTGCCTGGCGGACTCAAGGGATCCATTTCCTGCAACACAGAGAACATCGGGAAGTTTTTTTTTAAATCAAGAAGCACACTATAAAAAATAAGAATTCAGAATCAGCTGCATTTCAGCACTCAAAAACAACAACCAGCAGGCTTCACAAGGGCAGTTTGTCAGTAAAGCGTTTCTCCGCTTCCTGTGGAGCATGCACATGCACGCATTTTGTGGTTAACTTGTGTAAATGATGAGTCATTTGGAGTTGTCAAAAGCAGCAGCGTGAAGCCACAGTTAAAGATTCTCTGATTGTAAAGCTGATCCAGCACTAGATAAGATAGCTCAGATTTAACCAGAAGACTGTCAATTTCAAAGTGGAATGCATTTCATCCTGACCATTATATCAACTTGTCTTTTAGTGGGGAAAAGTCACTAAGCAGAAAAATTAATCATAAAATGTTGATAATTCGTTATTATTTCAGATTTGTTGAATGTATAACTTTATTTATACAAATATACATCTATTTATATATAAATAATGAATAAATAAATCTAAAGTGGCAACCAGCTTTCACAAAGACTTCACCAACACATTGAAACAATTAAGAAAAAGGCAATCATGCTCCAAGAAGGCCCGCGTCTTACACAGAATTCACTACAGACCAAATGAGATGAAACACAAACACATGGCTGCAGGTCTAAAGCTATATTTCAGTATCTTACACTCAATTCACAGGGTTTTACATCTTCCTTTCCTTCAGAGCCATGTGTGTGTGTGTGTGTGTATACTCCGCTCGAGTGCTCTTGGTTGCAGCTCCAGTTATGTCTGCGTCGATTTGACTTCCAAATTTCCTCACCCTCCTTCCTTGTGCTGCAATTTGAATAATGTCATCCGGGTCTCAATAACACTATTCAGGTGGAGGTTTACATCATGTCAGTGAGGTGAATGGGGCACCTGGAAAAGGAGAAGCTGGCTTGCAAATGCGGCCAGAAGGCAAGAAATACTCAATTATGGAAATAGATTTGCCTGTTGCCTGTTAGTGAGTGCCATCCGTGTGTAAAACTACAACGCTTCCCCTGTTGAAACAGAACAGTGTAGCATGCACAGGCATATCTTGTATTTTATTTGACCACAATGTAGGGTCCTGGAGGGATAAAACCATCGTCATCTCGCAACTCCTACTGAGACTCAACCTGAAAACCCTTTTTCAGGTCCCTCGGACTACTTTATTCACAAAGGATCAATACATTTACATAAAAATCTGTTGATGAAAATCCGTTGTACCCAGAAAAATAACGATCTTGTGAATCCGCGGTTATTTCGGTCAGCGTTTAGGACCCTTTGAGCAACGTTCAGCTAAATGTCGTGGTTTAAAGTTAGCAAATAGCTCATGAGCCAGTTAATTCTCTGAGGGCTCGACGACGCGGCCATGACCGAATGCTAGTAATGCTACTGAATGCTATGTCTGCACGGCGTGTGAATATGTCACATCTGTCTAGCAAAATGGGTGCTATTCTGGTCATGGGACGTTAACTCCTACCATATAATTCAGTCTGCTGGTGATTACACACATGCATCCACCCTCCCAAAACACACACACACACACACACACACACACACATAATTGCCACCATCACACACGTACGTGCACACACTAAATGCAATGTGCTATAGTGAGCTGTCAGACCGCACTAATTCCTCTTTTTATATGCGTCTGTCCTACTGTGTAGCAGAGGGATCAGGATTGCCTTTCAGGATAACAACTGAAGCTCTAAGCTCTTGTGTGTGTGTGTGTGAACATGTGCGTGCGTATCTGGGGGAACAACAATTGGGCGCTAAGCTGCAAAGAGCCTTGCAGCCACAGTGTCGCCAACAAATATCCACTGACTGTCAGCGGCGGACCGACTCTGTGTTTTTGTGTGTGTGTGTGTGTGTGTGCGCGTGCGCTTACGCGTGCAGATGAACCAACTTCCTGTGTTCGGTTGGAGTTAAGTGCTGCTATTAGACTTCAGGCCTCCAGTCGGGGTTCATTGTCTGGGAGAGAGACCCGATTACGCCGACAGAAACACCCGCGTGTGCAAGGTGTTTCTGTAAAAAAAAGTTTTCAACATGTGAAACTGCTAAAGAAAAAAGTTTGGAGTATGACAGGAAGTTTGACCACTTGATGTTTGCCGTTTAAGATCCATGCAGCAGGGGCAGTTGTCACTTATTCAGGAATAAAACTGGTGCTTTTTTTTGCGCTTATGTAATTCGACTGAATACATAGCCAGAGTAGCGGAGGACAAAGTGAATGGAAAGTAAAACCACAGTCAGGTGGTGAAGGTTCAGGCACTAGATCTCGCCGCCCACGTCGGAAATAAAAAGAAAAGTTCCGCTTCTGAGAAAAGAGAGTACGTTGTTTTTTTTCCTTCTTTTTTTACACCTACGTTTTGTGGCATCTCTTCGCAGCCTTGTTTCACGTACTCGACCCCTCTGAACCGATGTGGCCGATTGGAGAAGCTGGAGAGAGTGAAATCTGTGAGGGGGTGTCACTATTGAACATGACAAACCACGGTGGAAAAGTCTGCAAACCTTCTGGAGGATACGTCTTACGAGAACTTTTGCCTTGATTGTTGTTCAAAAAATATTAAGTGTAAAGTGTGTTCACTGAGTGAATCCACTCTTGCATTTCTGTCTCATTTTGTTCAAGTGAAAGGAATATAAAACCTTTTTACAGGAAGTTAAATCACTTTATTTTAGAGTCACATGGACATAAGGAAAAGTCTTAATAAATTATACCATAGACAGTTATTACATTTTAGTAACACATTGTGAGTTAAGTTTTGCATTTCTGAACTGAATAAATTCTAACTTCCAAACTGGTAAGAGCCACATAACCTGAGAGTGGAAGCGTGTAAAATCCCGCGCTGGGTATTTCATCGCTTTATGATCTTTGTGTCTTTAATAGTTATGCTTTCACAGGCCGGCCCAACCGTCCATCACGACCCTCCGTTTCCTCTCTGCACCCCCCCCCCCCCCCCCCCCCCCTCAGTGCTGTTTGAGTTCTTAAGCCCGGCCGTCCGACTGAGAGACAATGCGTCCACGAAGAACAGCCCCGCTTCCTTCCTGTCGTCCTGTGCTGCGTTCTGCCTTGGTGAGCAGGGTGAATAGGCCGCTCTGCCCCATGGCCGCCGTGAGCCACGGGGGCCACGGCAGCTAAAACCAACAAAGAGTCGTTCTGGGGGGGGGGGGGGGGGGGGGCTCCGCCTCACCCCCCCCCCCCCAACCCGCCCTCCCCGCTGCTACTCTCTGCTGCGACGGGTAAACAATCTCTCTCCATGTATCTTGTTTGTGTCCTTTGCCGTACTCATCCTTGCCAACCTTTTTGACAGTTTGGTAGTTAAAGTTAAATAAATCAGTTGAATAAATCAGTGTCATAGTCATTATTAAAGTTAAATAATTCCGATTAAAAAGCAGTCCAACAAGGTTTTTTATTTTTTCTCCTTCTGGATGTACTTTTCTGAAAGAAATGCACAGTGTGTCACCGACAAATTCACTCGGATCCAGAACCCTTACAGAGGGCCTGCCATGACCCGGGGGGGTCCAAATACTTTTCAATCCAAGAGTTTTGCTGTGACCAGCAGCGACAAATTAGGAAGATCCGCTCCAGACAGAATGGGATCACTGTGTGGAGACGTGACGAGTTGTGAGTGAAGAAAATGCCCTTTTGATAATATACCGCATGTCTTAACGGCTCATTTTTCTCCAACACGTCCAACCATCTTCCCTATGGGCATACCAAGTAGGAGCAGGTAGCTAAGAGGAGCCAAAATAACCCCCCCCCCCCAACTATTGAAAACAGGATGAATGCATGCCGGGCTGAATACAGGGGTAAACTGCTCAGTCTTTGTCATTCAAAGTGATGCTTTTAACCCTTTGGGCCCCTCTTCCTAACAGCCCCCCCCCAACCCAGTCCCTCTTCATTCACAGCTGACACAATGGAGGGAGAAAGGAGGCCTGCAACTGGACAAATAATTAAATAAAAAAAACTAGAACACAAGATCAACTCTCCCCTTTGCGTCCCTAATGGGATTCCGCCTGTTATGTTTCCACGTCCTCCTCCACGATGCTGCAAAAAAAGTGTGAAAGTTGATAATTATAAAGTCCGTCAGTCAGTCAAAGGCTGGGGATGAATAACAAACAAGTGAGCACAGGTTGGGCCTTGGCGCGTCAATCACAGCTCTGAATGCATACCGTGCTGCAAACACGTCCGTATGCTGTCAACAAGTGTCAGGGGCTTATGTTTCAGGCTTATGTTTCGCCTGCAAGGACATTCAAGACCCAGGAATTTCTCAACAAACCTTTGATTTGAAAAGAGGGGGGTGGGCGGTATCGGTAGGATACCGAGGAGCGAGAATGCGGTGAACTTGAAGCCGGAGGCCAGAGTGTAATAGCAGGCTCACTTATACGCATAGGTGGACTTATAAGGACGAGAAGAAAAGAAGCGATAAAGCTAATTGTCATAATCTACACGAGGGACTTCCTGGAACGGAAGGGGGACATGAGCACATTCTGGGGCCAGATGTTTTTTGTTGAGGATAAAGAGCGACGCGTCCTTGTTTGATCCCTGGAAACAACGCGGAGCGGGCTTGATGATAGCTCTACGCCAGATGAGCGTGCAGAGGCTCAATTAAAAATATCCAAAACTGTGCTTACGTCTGGCTTAAAGCACCTGGAAAGGTGTTGAGACACAACTGGCACCGACACACGTTCAGATGGGGAGGGAGGGGGGGTAAGACATACATTATGGATACGCCCGTCATATCTATCATTATCCCCATCGTCTGAATGTCACTTCAAGACGCTTGACAGAGAACACAAGAAAGAACAGGAAGAAATACTCCGTCAGACTTCAAGGTTGTTTAATTTCAAACGTTAATATATTTGTTTTCTAATTCATAGTGAACTATTCATCCAGCTTTGACACTCCTACAGGTCACCTCAAAATCCGGAGCGACTACAGGGCAGCCCCATGAGAGGTGACACATGAACAATGCTTTTTCAAAATAAATATTTTTCATTATAAAATAATAAACCTTCAAATAAATATATATATTTTTTAACTTTACACTAAGCAATGTTGGAATTAGAAAATAAAATTTTCATATATGGTCACTGTACAATTTACAAGTAGAAGGGATACGATTTTTGTAAATTATGTAAATTAAATGATTGATATACATTCCAGTGAATGTACAGACATGGTGAGAATGAAGTCGACTGATTCATATAAATGCAGATTCATCAAAGTGCCTCTCGTATGGCAGAAAACCTTTCACAGTTGAAGTATTATATGTACAAAAATAAAACATCTGTCAAACTCATCGTCTAATGTACATACCCTTTGCATTTACTACTTTACATACAGTTAGTAATGGGAGTCTGCTTTTAGCATATAAGTTGTATTAAACGTTAAAATAAAGGCTATCCATTTGGACTCTCATAGCAACAAGACTATATCTGGGCACTTGAGTGAAGAAGTTATTTTATTCGGACAAACCAGTGTTGACTGCGTCTTTAACCCTTTATCACGAGAAGCGCTTATTTTGGTTTACCTGTCAACTGAAACTTAGAACGCTAGGTTGAGCGACTCCTTTTATCGTCACTCGTTGAAGGCAAAACCGCGACCATGTCCCAAGTGTGTGAGTCAGGTCAGATCTGCATGGAAAACACAAGCATCAATAGCTCTCCAATCAAACCCGTAAACTAAACAACTACGGGGCCATCTCGTCAGTTCAGTCAACGCAAAGTCTCTCCGGCGCTCCGGTACACGGCGCCGCCTCGCCTACGTCAGCTTGCCGCCGTCCTCGCGGCGTTTCGGGTTTGCGCTCCCGCACCGACAGCCTGGTCGGGCGACTCGATCGTAGCAGCTCTGGCACACGAGGACGCATCCTTTGGCCGGGAGGTAGCACAGGAGACAGGGGAAGAGCAGGGAGAGGAGCGACACGGTGGTCCAGCGGACGCAGCAGTGCGACTGCGTGCACGAGAAGGGCTTGTCGGCGCACGTGTCCTCGTCATCGCTGGAGCAGTGGTAGAAGAGCCCCTTGACGCAGCAGACGCACGTCCCGTACTCCACCGCGCTCTGCACCGAGCACACGCACCGCCGGCCGCACGTCCAGCAGGAGGGGAGCACCCGCGGGCGGCCGCACTCGGGGCAGCGGCAGCGGCCGCAGTCCTCGCACTTGTTGCCCTGGCACTTGTTGCCCTGGGCCTGGCTGCCCGGCACGGCCACCACGGCCCTGGACTCGCGGTTCAGGGGCTTCAGCTCTTCGGTGGAGTTCAGCTCGGCGCGCGGCGGCTGGGTTCTGATTGCCCGGTTGCTCCCCGCCGGGCTGCCGGCGAGCCGCTGGCCGGAGGACGGGATGCCCGCGCTGCTCCTAATGCTGCTCTGCGATTCCTCCCAGGACGAGACGGAAGCACTGGAGTTCCCATATTGAGGGAACAAATTCCGGTCACAGAGATTATTGGGCTCCTCTTCCGGAGCATTCTGTGGCCCACTGGTCCTTGGACCCGGCAACGACACCAAGTCGCTCTTCTGTTGCCGATGCGCAGCGGCCGGAGACCTCTGGGAAACTGTGGGCCCTTCTGTGTACTCATTACTGCTGCCACTGATGCGGATCTGATCAAGGGACAGCACTGCTGCAGCGTGGGACGGCCGCCTGTTGGTCGACCCCGGATCTGGCGAAGCCTCCAGGTTGAGCGCGGGCCGTGGTTGCGGTCCCCCTTCGTCATGCGGCATAACCGGCGAGCCAGCCAATGGCGGCAACCGCCCGCAGCGCCCTCCTCCCCCGTCGCTGTCGTTGTGACTCGTGGAATCCATCTCGGGACTGAAGGGTCACTCTGGCTGGCATGGGACACATCTGAAGTCCTGGAACAGAGACTGACAGTTTATATCCGTCCGTGGCAAACCATGCAAATCCTGCCATGCAAATCATAACCCGTATGTGCACAAGCACCGCTATGGAAATCAGGCTGAACACACATGTCGGTATCGCTGTGACAGACGGGGAACGGTTACACACCATGTTTGAGCGGGCTACGGACTTATGGTTAACTCTGTGGCTAATGTAGGAAACAAAACAAAGAACGGGTAGATTTATCAAAACATTTGTTCACTAAAAGTCGATTCGAGTTGCAGATCGAGGCGTCACGGTAACTGACAGATATTTTTTTTTACTGAATTTAGACCCTTCTCTGCTTGTGTGTTGCACAAACTTCCTGTTTCGCCACACCTGAGACACAACAGCGAGTAACCCAACAGTGAGAAATAAATGAGCTGGGGAAGTGAGGGAGAGAATTGACAGATGATGGTCCTTCAGAGCAACAGCATCAGTGGACTGAGAACTACGGCAGCTCACTTCCTGTCCGGCTCCACTGTCTGCTACAGAGGCCTAAGATGCCTTTAAAATGCTTTCTAAATAAGAGTAAATATACCGTAACAGTTAAAACCACTGAATAACTACCAAAATTCAGGTGATACACTAAAACAAATTCGAAAATGAATATGTGTAGGTTTGGCTGTCGGTCAATGAAATATGTCCTGTTGGGCTTTAGGACATTGTGACGGCCTTTTATTAGCGCTTTCTGATTATAATAGGCAATACACTTAATTAAGCATCTAAGCTGATAAGAGCTGCAATGATTAGTTGATTACTTCATCAAAAGAACCAACTGAAAGTTGATCCAAAACGTTTGAGTTAGTCTTTTGGCGCTCCCAGGCGTGACCCAGTTATCTCCCCCCTTCATTGTATGGAGAGCGGACGTGTTGGACAAACGCAGAGTGACAGGGCCATATACTAACATATGCAAATGCATTGTGGTGTCTTCACAAACCTATCACACCAAAGCAAAGAAACTGACAGTGGTGACCTTAATTCTCCTTCCTTGGGGTAATTAGCTTTCAAATGGCATATTAGGCTCACGTACCCCCCCCCCCCCACTCTTTCAACGATAATGCAGGAAGGGCTTTTGTTTGTTGCATGACAAATGGCCCGCGACAACCTTCCCTGTTCCAACGCATTTCACATTGTGACACTCTTCTCAAGATGATGAGTGACAAGAATAGAAAAGATAAAAGTTTGGGGGCAACTTGATGGGGGTGGGGGGCCGGGGGATCCATGTAAAGTGTGAGTGATGCGTTCAAGGGTGGCGGGTGGGAGTGAAGCTCTGTGAGCACACACGAGGGTTCTCTAGGATTTATGAGCCGTTTGCTCCAAATGAAGGGGCTTGCAAGCACACTCAAATTTTAACCTTGTAAGTGGGTGGGACGTGGGGCCCCCTCATCCACTTACAGGGGCCTGTGAGCCAGCCTTGTGGCTGGGGGGGGGGGGGGTAACTGGAGCGAACTGGTGGCATCTGCTCTTCTAAATGTAAATGACATGTTAGGAATAGGAAATGTTGCGCTTTTAAAAAGGACGTTGTGTTAAAAGTTAGAAACCCAGTGAGCCACCTAGTTTCTGGTGCCCATCTGATAAGCCTCAGTCTGTGAGCGGTACAGTTACAAGATGTTTGCATTACATTACAATAAGACATTACACGTCTGAGATCCACGGGAACCAAGAGTGTAGGTTCCTCTCCGCTAAAACGAGCTTAGTGACGCCGTATCTCACTGCAGCAGCGCTTAATCTAACTGAGGCTACAAGTGCTGAAAACTACGGTAAAAACTCTGTTCTCTTTAGCACGTCTGCGTAGTACGAAAGGAGAGAACTTACCGTGCTCGCCACACTTTGCTCCCGTTTCGGTGAAATAAATCCAACTCGCGGGACGAGTTTATTCCACGCGCGAGCTGCTCGGTGCGGGGAGCCGTCGGTAAAGATCCATCGAGACGAGTTTCCACACCGGGACGCGTTCCCGTTAAAAAAAAGAGGGTACGGGGAAGGGGAGGGGGGTAAATCCCGCAGGAACACGAGGCGGTAAAAGAGTTGAAACTAGCGCTCTGCTGCAGAAGTGAAGCGCCTCTCGGGGTTTATCCGCGAGTCTCCGTGCGGGTCCCGCGAGTACTTTTTGTTACTCGTGCATGAATGTGTGTGTTGGGTTTTTTGGGCTCTTTCCGGAGAGGAGGTCGGGATTTGGGCTGTAAATGGCGTCAAGCTGAAGGGGGAACAGAGCGCTTGTTGTTTGCAGCGGATATCTCGCATCCGGTGCTCAGCCATTGGCTGCCGGGGAGCGGCCATTCACACCCAGTGCGATCAATTATGCTGCGGGAGCCCAGCGGCGCTGCTCAACGGCTGCGGCACTGTGGGAAAAACACGACAACCTCCACGTCTAATTCAAGTGTTTGTAGTTTCATCAAAGGTTGCGGTGCTTTTACTTTACTGATAAACAACACGCAACATACATGTGATAGTTCCCTGTCAGAGGGGACGACCATGTGTATGATGCAGAATAATAGATGAATACTTAAATGTACTTGTAAGTACTTTATTGTGTTCCTCCATTAAAATACGGCATACACGAGGATTAATGTTGATCTGTAACAATAATAATTAAAATATATGGTATGTGGTAGAAGTTTTTTAAAGGGGGAATATTGCCTAATAGTGTAATTTTTGATACTTGATATTTCTGTACTGCAGTGCATCATATCCCCAAATTCCCCTCAGAAAGGTAAAGTATAAGTACAAAGTACATTGTTACAGAAAAAGTATTTTCTTAGTATGCACTACTATAATCACAGTTTAGTTTTATTTAAGATAGATAATAAACAAGTAATGCCTTTAATGGGCCCTGAGTACTACCCCGTGTGCATACGGACTGGCCTTTGACTTACAGGACAGGAGGTTAATCATAGTGAACCTCAACACTTCTAACTATTCAAGCTTCTTTACCAATCTGCTATGGATCCAAGGTCAAAGTGATCCATGGCTGATACACTGAACTGAACTACTATAAGCAAGCTATTACATTTGAGTTTCTCTAAGCTGTTGTCAGTAATAGTGTAGCAGTGTCCCCTTGTGGACTTCCTCCGGTACTGCACACTGAAATTAATAAAGGCTTCACTTCAGGACCGGCTCAAAATAAAGCATCACATCTGTTTAGAGGTCCCTTACAATCACGTGGAACGTTTTGCAACAATATTTCATAATGACTGACGGTCTGAGTGTCTTTTCCACAGACCGTCTATCCTGTTAAGAAGCAATGAGGTACATGTATGTGCATGTAGACCTCAACATGTGGAGTCAGAACAGGGACAAACATAGAAGAGATGAGATAAGGATGTAGTGAGTTTGCGATTCAATTAAATGCAGGAAAGGTCAGTGTATTCTGCCATTGTGCTCTGTGGAAAAGTCAAGTTATGCACACCTATACAGAGAGACACACACAGGCACACACATTTTAAAGTCAGCGTCCGAGTTACCCAGCTATTAAGTACAACTATGAAATAGAGACCTTTTCAAAGAGAGAATACAAAGACCAATTATGGTCTGTTCAGTCAGTCTGACAGGGACAAAAGACCTTCAGTGAAAACAATGAGAGCTCACACATCTCTCTCCAACCTTTCAACTGTTTCAGCCATAGTGTCTGATCACTCCGGACGGAGCAATTATGAAGTGGTGAGTATCTTTAATGAACCCACAGCATGACTTTGCAAATCCCACTGGATCCTGGTCAGGAAGCTTTCGAGCCTTCCGTCCTTCTTGAAACAATGCAATTATTCTTTGCTGTGCCCGTCTCACAGGCAAGCGTGGGTTCACCTTTAAAGCCGGTAGTACTACTAAAGTAGATGAAAAGGTGGATGTCACTGTGATATCATGATATTTGTGGCATCGTCTTTGTTTCAGCTCCTCCTCGCCCCTCGTGGGCTTCTATGAACAAAACATGTTTCATTCACATCATGGTTCGGTAGGAGGCCGTGCACGACGACGAGTGGGGGGTGAAGATGTAGATTGATGGTTCATTTTTATCGTGTTTCACACTCACATCTCGCTGATTATGCCAAAGCAGGTTGGTTTGTCTCCACTACATAAACGCAGGAATGTGTCTTTTAAAGAAAAGGGAAGACGAACGCATTTGTGGCGCCCCGTCAAATGAACCGCTCTGTGAGGGAGAATTACGTTATTACACCTATCTTGTCCCGCAGATGATTTGTTGTATCAGCTTGACAATAAAAGGCCACTTAATTGAATTTAGCTCGCATTCCCGCGTTCATCCGTCACGTCGACTCGCCTCACCATCTCTGAGGCTGCTGAATCAACCGCGATGAATGTCCATTTGCTGCAGCGCCCTGCCAGGGTTTCAACATTTTGTGGTTAATGGCGGATGCTTTACAGCAATTCCAAGGTTTTATTTTTGGTTCCACACCACAAGAAATGCCATTTTCTTTTTCTCTTTCAGAGCACCTGAACAGGGAACCCTGCAGAATGCCATGACCATCAAAAAAGAGGAAAAAAAGATAAGGGATTAGAAAATTGAAATGAAATCTAACCCCCCCCCTGCTGCTGCAAAAGATGAACTCTGTCAAGCAAACACTTCAAACTGTTCGTTGTGGGCGTAGTCGACGGCAGGCTTTTTAATATTTCTGTTTTTAAAATAACAATGTTCATGATCAGGCTTATGCTTGTATTTGGGCTTTCTACCAGGACATGTTTACATTATTTTCCGTGTCCGCCCAAATCGGCTTTAGATAAAGAAGGAAGCTCTCAAGGTGGTATCTTCTAACACGCACCATGTGACAAAAGGAAGCGGGGACCCAAATCTGATTGGCTTGTTCAATCACAAGTTTTTTTTATCCAGGCAGAACACAAAAAAGGACTGGGTAGGTTCAGATAGCAACATCTATGCAGACAAGCATGGAAAAGGTATTTCTGTTCAGCTGCTTTGCTACTTGCTGACTTTTTTGGAAAAGTTATTCTGTCACGTTCAATGCAGGAAGAGCTGAAGATTATAGGATGCTCCCTGGAGTGTAACCCCCCCCCCCCCAAAAAAAAAAAAAACATAGTCTGTAACTTGAAGTACTTGAAAAATCCTACTAGTCCTCAGGTTAAGAAGAGGATAGGGGAGCAGTGGTTTCAATATGTAAGGTTTTCTGGTTTGACGGGGACAGAAAAATTCTTCTGGCTGCTGGTTGGCTGGTTGAGCTAGAGTTTGAAGAAAGAGCTGACTGATTGATTTTTGGAAGAATATTGCCCACAGACACAAAACCAAATCAAGAGCGTGTCATATTGTAGCAGACTCTCGGGCCATGAGCTAAATAACATCTCTTGGATTTTATTATCACTTCACCCGTCAAAACTAAAATCTGCAGAAACGTCTCTCTCTCTCATCTCAGGACTTGTGCTAATAAAAGCTCGAATGAACACCTCTCGTAACCTTGAGGACATAATCAAGAAACCGCCCACTTCTGCATGCACACACATGCCTCTCCACTGACGCGATATGCGGCTCTTGTGAATTAGACTAACATGAATGGAGCGGCCCTGAGACGTCCACGGCTTTGACTACCCACTCTCTTCCCTTTCACTGCGATGCACAGAATGCACGCGGCACACAAAGGCCACGCCGAGGCGCCTCGGCGGACGCTCGCAGCTCGCTCGAGTCGATGGCAGAGTGGGAGAGGAGAACGAGGGGAATCGCAGAATGCTGGCTGTCGGGGCTGCGAGTCGTGACGCGGGTACTGAGCGGGCTTTTGTCTGGCCTGGTGAGAACCCCCGGCTGTAGGCACACAAGTGTCCGTCGGGACAAGAGACTTAATTCAAGGGCGGTTGACCGCTTTCAGTCATTTTTTCAATACGGGCAAAGGATTTTATTTGGCTTCAGTGCATTTGAATGTTGTCTCAATATTGAGTTTTAACGAAACACTCTTTGTAATAATACCTCTATTAACTGTATTAAAAGACTATTGCCAAATATTCTCCATGGTTAGTGACAGTTTGGAAATAACGGGTTGGGAGGAAAGACACACCAACACCATTGTTCCATTTCCTTTGGATTCTCCGCTTGAATTTAAAGTCAAGTTCTCAATTTATTTGCAGACAAAAGCGAAGGATCTCTGAGTGGGAAGCTCACTCTCTGGTGGCAGTACTGTACATATCAACGTTATTTCCTACTTTCACATCACTCCTCATCATCACTGGCAAATATTGGTTCATTTTTAGAATATAGCCCTTTTTACATAATGTCACTGTTCTTTTTTGTGGATAAAACATCGTACATGCAAAGGTAAATTACCAGTCTGGGGTACGTCAGTGATTGGCTGAGGCTTCACTATTGATACATTTCAAACATTGCAGTGTTACATAATCCAGTAGCAATATCTATTGTGGAACCCGTAATAAAATGCAGGTATCAGCCTCTGCAGTGAAAACCATCCTCTTTAAGTCTGATATAACAGACGTTGAACTTCCAAAATTTGAAAACTATATTTAAAAAAACTTGCCCTATGCATCAGCCCAGCCAAACAAACAAATAAAGTCTATGTTTCTACCCACTGGGGTTTTGGGGATTAATGTAACACAACATGAACGTGGAGACCAAGCTAAAAGATGCCAGCTCTCCCAAAACAACAAAAACAACAGCACGGCCCGATAAAACCTCTCTTCCTGTTTGAAGCGTCTCTGCGCAGCTAGAACTTCTTGTAAACTCAACACTCAAGTGGACGGAGGCTCCTCAGGAGCTCATTAGCAGCTGTGGACTAAAGAGTTGGCTAAAGTAAATTTTACTGCCCCCCCCCTCCCCATAGGAAAGAGATTTCTCCAATGTTTCTTTGATGTTTTCTTTACAATATAATTCTGTAGGAAAAGCTTTAGTACATAAATATGTATTCCAAATTAAAAAGGGGATTTCACGCTCTGATAAATGTCCCAGATTAGTGTTAGAAGGGAGGGGGTGCCTGTGCGTGCCAGCATGATGTCAGCGAGTATGGGCACTTTTATTTATTGCTGGTATATCCGCTTTCTCAAATAGACAGTGTGTGAATAAACGCTTGACTGTTAGGGACCATGACCATGTGATCATATGATTATGGGACATGTAGCATCCGGTCATGATCGCTCTGCTGCTTCGACTCCGACCACCCTGTGCGTGACCTGAATGTGGTCGAGATAGTGGAACCACTTTTGTCCTATTTCTCTGTTACAGGATTTCCTCTCAGTGCTTTCGACCTGTGCTGGTTCACTCTAATTGAAAAAAA